CACCTCAATTTTCCTACAGGGTGTTTCGAAGTTATGACCAAAAACAACAGTTTGTTAGAAGAAAAACACAATAAATGGCTCTACAAACTGATAACAAAATCAAGGAAATCGGATGATAATAAAAAAGTTATAAAATAAAATAGCCCACTGTTTTTTTGTTAATATTGATGGTTTATGGTGGGTTCTTCTGTCAATGAAATGGGTTTTTCTGTTTGTCAACCCTGAGCATTAGCCCCTTGATAGTTCTTCGATCCTTAGATGGTTTGTCTGACTACTGACAACAGTGACAACCATATATCGTTATGGGTAATGGTAATGCACATTAGCTGAAAAGTTTTCTTCGCTTCTCAGGCAAACTGAAATTTCTTGGTTCTTTATGATCTGTGAAAGCTTGCCAAAACCTGCACATGTTAATTTTGTTTTTTTTTTGTGCAATATCTGTTTGGTTGCTTTTATCAAGTTCCAGTATCTGTCCTAGGTGGATGAATTTGCTGACTTTTCCCAAGTTTTCAATGGTGACTTCTCTCTTTTCTTTGGTATCATTTAACATCACTCCTGTTCACATGTCTAGACCAGTCTATTTACTCGAATACATCCTCTATTGCCAGCGTGTAAAATTTTGGTGATATCACATCTCTCTGACTCCTCTCCTGGATTGGAATGGGATTGGTGTTCCCAGCGAAACTATCAATAAGACATTTAGTTATCCTAGGTATAGCTTTTAATAATAGGTACATAGGTCAAGGATTTTAGGCTCGATTTAAGGTCACATTGGGTATACATCAAGGTATACACAAACCAAGATAAAAACATAAATCAACACTGACTCACAACTAAGCTAACACCGAGGCTAACACCTAACAAATCCTTCATTACTACATTTGAATTTTTATCCAGTTTTTAATTTTTTTTTGTTAGTATGTTCCTAATAATCCTAATACTAAGTATCTGGAACTAAATTGTACAGTTTTGGAGCTAAATAATCAATGTGCCTCGTTCCAATAGACTTTTTTGCCCTTGGCACTACACACCTATTACCCACCATACCCCTAGTTCCGTGTGAGTGTTTAAGGAGTTCAATTTTTTCTTGTTTCTGATATAGCAACAAAACAGTTGCCGAATATTAAAAAACCAGATTCTTTATACAATTATTCAGTTGGATATCTTAGGCCTTTGTTGTGTATCACTTCAATAATCCACTTTTGAATAATATTAAGTTTCATAATTGTGAGTTTATTAACTCCTACCTACCCGCACAGACCATAAGACAGATGAGATTGCACAAGTACATAATACAAGACCCTTAGCTTTGAAAGATCAAAATATGATCTAAAACATTTACCTAAATCTGGACACTAGATATCTGATTTTTTTTAACAAGATTTTCGATCTTTAGGTTCCATCTTAAATGGGGATCGATTACAATACCTAAATATTTACTGAAGCTGCCCTTCTTATACTTTGTGAGTCACCAATATTCAATCTATGAGTGTTTGGCAAATCCGAGGGCAAACCGGACTTATATGATGAAAAAGTCTGGAATTGAGTTTTATCAATATTAACTGTCAAAGTCGAACCAATCCTGTACCTTTCCAAAGTCTTCTTCGGCGATCTGTTTTACTTCCGCCCAAGCATCTGCACTGAAGAAGCAAATTGTATCATCACAGAAACTCGCTAGATTACCTGCATATCAAATAACTTATAGTTTTTAGCACACACAATGCTATCGTCATAGTCCAGTCTACAAAAGTGAGATAGAGGAGAGTTTGGTATTCATTGACTTTTTCCATTAGAAATTGTATAAGTCACAATTTGATTTGCTTTATTCAATGTGTCGGTACCTGTCCATTTTAGGTAGTAAGAGTGAACGGTTACTGATAATTTTCATGAATGCCTTGTATATTTGGTATAATAACAAGATATTTCACAACAATTTCTGATGTCACGATGTCAGTCCCTATCAACTTTTTTAAGGAGCAGAAATCTCGGCAGAAATGCAAGATAAAACTCTGGTATTTCCGCATTTTTTTTACATGAAAAAAATAGTCTCTGTAATTGTTGATATAATAGCCTTTTTTCATTTATCAGCATTTGAGCTGTCCCTCTATCGTCTCCTGGTGATGTGCTATTTTCCAAATTTTTCGATATTTCCTAATTTTCGTTGGTTATTGATTTATTTTTCCACGTTGGAATCTTGCTTCCAATAATTGTATTTGTCATGATTTCATGATAGATGTTTTTCCACAGCTTGAGTGATTCTGTTCTTTTCCATCTTCACTGTCTATGCGCCTGGTTTGGTTAGCTCCCATATCTTCCATAGGATCAAGCCAATTTCATTTTAATTCCTTTCCAATGAAAACGTGTGAAAAATGCAAAGCATAAAACAACCCAGAGAACCATTAGTAGACGATACTTTGAATGGACACGAGATAAAAAATCGAATCAACATAAATACCTGTTGTGAAGATTTTTGAATAAGCACAGTGAATTTTAAAATATTGTCAACAGTCATATTCAGATTCAGATGATCCTTATATATAAAGAAAAAGGAGAGCAGAATAAATTGTCTGATTAATAATGGAGATAACCATTATAGATTTTTTGCTATTGTGGGAGAAAACCCTATTTTGAAAAGTTACTTATATTTTGAGGTTTTGAGCTTTGGTTATGATCAATACAGGATACAGGTCAGAGATTTCCTAAGTATTTGCATTAATAAAGAATTTCCTAGATTACCAAATTCAACTGTTAAAATAACCTCGAAAATAACCTTGTCCCTTCTAATGTAGCCTTGGAGGCTTGGGACTAAAAACCAGAATCATAAAATAAAGATTTTTTTTTCAAATCCAACTTAACTAGGAATATCCTAATTAGAGCTTTAACATTATAGACTGGTTCCTCCTAACATCAATTAGAATAATTAAATTGTTGACTTTGGATTATCGGCAATTAATTTTGGAAATTGCTTGGTAATTGAATTTCTAGTTTATGAAATCGGATACTTAAGAGGATTTTGACCTATGTGTCATGCACAAAAATAATTATGTAAAATAAAATAATATCGAATTTATTGCCATTCCATTTTGTAACCAATCAAAATATCAAGTTTTCTTTTTATTTACTGAGATTCAAAAAAAAAAAATTCTGTGGGCTCCTCAAAATTCTCACAAGTGTATTTATTTGCCCAAACACACATAAGCAGCTGCCTGTGTGTATCTACTTTTTTGGCAAGGTCATTGCACCAGGTAGCCCGTCCGTTGACTGATGAAAGGAAAAAGGAACCACAGCTGTACCTCTTGAATACCTGCCTAGAAGAAGCCTGTGGCCCAAAATTAACAAAATGCATATATGAGGTGAAAAAATAAGATATTGATGCTGTAAAATAATAATTAATTTTAATGGTAATTGGTAATCCTTAAATAAAGTAAATGATAAATGAAGATACATAGCATCAAAACTTTATTATTTCAAGTTATATTAAAGAAATAGGATAGGAAGAAGTATGCCGCACCTATCAGGAATAAGCAAATTGAAAAAAATTACACGCTAAAACTCATAATGAGTCTGTGGTAAATAATTTGTAAGAATAGATCTAATAAAAATTAAAAAGCCAATTGCTAAAACGAACTTTAGCAAATTACTATAAATTTATGTTAGACTGAAAAATGTTTATTTTCATTATAAACATGTTACTAACCTACATAAAGTAGCAATTTATCTTAAAATAGCACCAATATTTTTCGTACATAACTCCTGCTGATTAATTTCTTCTAAAATCTTAGAATAATAATAATTCTAAATGTCCGTTTTCATACAAAACAGGATACTTAATACATATTACTACTTGACCTAGGAAATGAGATAAGACTATTTTTCCATTCAAAATATGTCTGTGCTTAATTACTTAACTTGTGTGAGACCCAATAAAAAAAGTCCATTCACCTGAAAGGAACTTGGCTAAAAAAAGTCTTAGCTACTAAAGGTTCATTTTTATCTATCATAAAAAAAAAGGTTATCCCATAAAAAAATTTAAGACTCCCACAATCAAAAACTGTGAAAGAAAGTATCTCATTTCTAGGCTGGGCTCTGCTGGACACTTTCACTCTCTTTGAATATACATTTTTGTACCCACGGCAGCAATTTTCCATGCTAAGTACTTGCAGAAGATTCAAAAGCAAATTAAAATCATTTTTTAATGACCTTGTGCTACCTCATTGATATTTTTACGTTCGCTTGATGTTAATGAACCGCAATAGCCAGAATATTTTTAAATTGTAGGTACTCATCAGAGCAAACAAAAAAAAAACAAGATTTTTTGATCGGAATAGGGAACATACTAAAAATGTATTATCACTTAGCGCACAATAATAAATTAATGGATTGGCTAAACTGCTGCTAAAAAAAAGCCTCCACATTTGCAATTCATTAATGGTGCTAATTTAATACAATTAAAAACAATTTTGTACCCGGGCAAAATTGCATAGCGAAAAGTTTTTTGTTCTAGATTTAACGAAACGCGTCCTTAGTGAGAATTTGCTGGTCACGGACATCAAGATGTATTTGTAGTTGTGCCAAGTAATGTTTGAAAACCAGGCTGATTAATTTTAAACTCAAATATTTCTTTGATAAACTTGATTGTTCTTCGCTGAACCAAAAAAACCCTAGTTTATAAATGTTTCGCATATTTAATTTTTAACTCATGTAATTTCAATTCAACAAAGTAATATGTGGGCCAGAGTCTTATTAATAGTAAACATTTTTAATCATAAATTTAAAACTGGGAAGCCTTGACCCACTAGATTATACATACTGCAGATCACACATATTCATTGCCAATAATTATTATCATAATGCAGTTAAACATAAATTAAAATTTTGTTTCCAGAAAATCTTGGCTAGAAAATGTTTGGAAGCGAAAATAGACTAGATTCTGCAAATTTGACCTTACTAGAATTAATCTTTAAATGTCCACTAAGAAATGTATTCTTCTTCTTTTCCAGTCCGAGCTTATGACAACGCAACAACCTGTGGCCTGGTGTGGACCCCGAATTTCGTAGCCTATAGATGTCGCACCTGCGGTATATCGCCATGCATGTCCCTGTGTACAGAGTGTTTTAAAAAGGGCAACCACCATAGACACGATTTCAATATGTTCCTATCTCAAGCTGGTGGAGCGTGCGATTGTGGCGATACATCTGTTATGAAAGAGACTGGGTGAGATTTTTTATGCATACCATAGAGCATTTTGCTCTTATTTGTTGGATTGAAATTAGCAAAATAGTAATTCAGAAAGGTGGAAAGCAAACGTTTAGTAGATAAGATCGTGCACGAGTAGCTCAAGCATCATTGTGTCCATTAGTTCCAAATTGGTATGCAAATGCATAAAATAATTGGCAACTAAAACACATTTAGCAGGTGTTCTGACATGTTAAAGTAAAATACCAGCCAATTTTCTGAAATATTTTAGTGCCGGAAATGATGGTTTTGCTTACACTAGTATTTATTTTTGTTGATTTTCACAAAACAAAGAAATATGTATTTATTTAGCTGATCTGTTCTGATAAGTTATTTTTTTATAATTTAGATTTTGTGATCGTCACGGTCCCAACAAAGCATCCAGTAAAGGCTCGGCTCCAACAGATCTCATGTGTGTAGCCGAGAAAATGATGGCTAGAATCATCTTGAGACTGATCCAACATCTAAGGGAATTTAGTGTAGTGGATAGTTCTCAAATGGCAATACAGGAAGCCGACTCGTATATAACAATGTTGCTGGATTTTAATAACATGGGAGGACTTATGAGGAGAGTTATGACGACGGCTTTAACTAATCCAAATGTAAGAGAAACTAAATTGTATTTGGTGAGGCTCAACAGAGGAGGCAAAAGAATTCTCCTGTGTAAAATTTCAGAATGATAATGAATAATTTATTCAGTATCAACTGCCCAGATGGAGTTAATCTATAAGACCTAGGAATCTATGTATATCTGACAGAAAAAATCCTAGCTTGCTCAGTAAGAAAAGCTAATAACATGTAACTGATTTATAACATAAACTAGAAAAATTGTGAAATAGTTATTTTCCTAACAAAGTGTCTTTCCCGCACTCGACTGCTTGCCCGAACTCCGCTTCGCGTCGTTCGGGTCAACGGCAGTCGCGTGCGGGAAAGTATCACTTTCCGCATGAGTTAGGAACATTATTTTTTCTACGAGCGCGTTCAAATATAAAAACAAAAACTAAGTAAATTCAAAGCGATATATTATTAAAGAAATCGTTTAATTACAAAATTACTTATTTTTATATTTTTACGTTTACTTTCAAGAATGATTGAAAAAAATTATGTACTAAGGGTGGGTATTATAAAACTGCTTTGACAGTTAACTTGAAGTTAACTTTTTGAATTACATGTAATTCCAGAAGTTAACTTAAAGTTAACTCTCAATGTAGTTTTATAATACCCGCCCCCCGCCCTAAATCGATTTGATGTTACAATAAACAAAATTTCTAGGTAAAAAAAATGCCCCGCCTCAAAGGAACCAAAAAGTCAAACAATGTAAAAAAAAATTATAAAATTTTTGAAATATTCACAAATTAGATTAATATGGATTAAAATAGGAATATTTCAAATAGTTTATGAGCGCATAAATTAGTATATCTAGCAAAAATGTATGCAGACAAAATAGATAAAATGTTTGATTAATTAACAAAAGTGACACTTCTTCTGAACGCCACTTTCCCGCACTAGTGCGGGAAAAACAAAATCGCGCACTAGTGCGGGAAAGTGACATTTTCGGAACTAAAATGCGTGCGGGAAAGTGATAAAAAATGCACGCTCGTAGAAAATAGTTATTTTCCTAACAAGTGCGCAAAGTGTTACTTTTCCGCACGCAAACACAGTAATACGAACGACGCGAAGCGGAGTTCGGATACGTGTTTGCGTGCGGAAAAGACACTTTGCGCACGTGTTAGGAACAAAATTTTATCAAAAAATTACATAACAAAAAAAAATAACAGAAAATCCTCGTCAGAGCTGCTCATCTTAAAGCGTTTAAATTTGATGAGAAAGTTTGTAGATTTTTGCATATAAGTAGAGAACAAATCTGACAATGTGTCGAAGTTAATTTATATTTGGTGTTTGTATAGATGTTGGCTGATATAGGACCAGAGGAAAAATTTGTCATCATGTGTCAAAGTCGACAGGTGCACTTATTGTTGCTTGACAATTATAATTACTTTTCGGCACTCAGTGCGGATAAGGCCTGTATCCGCACTGAGTGCGGAAAAGTGTAACTTTGAGCCCGGAAATGCGTGCGGAAAAGTACTACTTTGCGCACGCTCGTAGGAAATAGTTATTTTCCTAACAAGTGCGCAAAGTGTTACTTTTCCGCACGCAAACACAGTTATACGAACGACGCGAAGCGGAGTTTGGATAAGTGTTTGCGTGCGGAAAAGACACTTTGCGCACGTGTTAGGAACTAAATTTTTCCTACGAGCTTCATATCAGGTAGGTAACAACAAAAATTTAGAAAAAAAAATTATTTGTTCAACTATTTTTAATTAACTTGAAGCGAACCTATGCAGTTATCAAAAAATTACATAACAAAAAAAAAAAAAATAACAGAAAATCATCGTCAGAGCCCTTTTTTTAAAACGTTTAAATTTGATGAGAAAGTTTGTAGATTCTTGCATATCAATAGAGAACAAATCTGACAATGTGTCAAAGTTAATTAAATTTGGTGTTTGTATAGATGTTGGCTGATATAGAAACAGAGGAAAAATTTGTCATCATTTGTCAACGTCGACAGGTGCCCTTATTGTTGCTTGACAATTATTTTTACTTTTCGGCACTCAGTGCGGATAAGGCCTGTATCCGCACTGAGTGCGGAAAAGTGTAACTTTGAGAACCGAAATGCGTGCGGAAAAGTACTACTTTGCGCACGCTCGTAGGAAATAGTTATTTTCCTAACAAGTGCGCAAAGTGTTACTGTTCCGCACGCAAACACAGTTATACGAACTCCGCTTCGCGTCGTTCGTATAACTGTGTTTGCGTGAGGAAAAGACACTTTGCGCACGTGTTAGGAACAAAATTTTTCCTACGAGCTTCATATCAGGTAGGTAATAAGAAAAATTAAAAAAAAAAAAACGATAATTTGTTGAATTATTTTCAATTAACTTAAAGGGAACCTATGCATTTATCAAAAAATTACATAACAAAAAAAAATAACAGAAAATCCTCGTCAGAGCTGCTCATCTTAAAGCATTTAAATTTGATGAGAAAGTTTGTAGATTTTTGCATATAAGTAGAGAACAAATCTGACAATGTGTCAAAGTTAATTTATATTTGGTGTTTGTATAGATATTGGCTGATATAGGACCAGAGGAAAAATTTGTCATCATGTGTCAAAGTCGACAGGTGCACTTATTGTTGCTTGACAATTATAATTACTTTTCGCTACTCAGTGCGGATAAGGCCTGTATCCGCACTGAGTGCGGAAAAGTCTAACTTTGAGCCCGGAAATGCGTGCGGAAAAGTACTACTTTGCGCACGCTCGTAGGAAATAGTTATTTTCCTAACAAGTGCGCAAAGTGTTACTTTTCCGCACGCAAACACAGTTATACGAACGACGCGAAGCGGAGTTCGGATCCGTGTTTGCGTGCGGAAAAGACACTTTGCGCACGTGTTAGGAACAACATTTTTCCTACGAGCTTCATATCAGGTAGGTAACAGGAAAAATTAAAAAAAAAAATGATAATTTGTTCAATTATTTTTAATTAACTTGAAGCGAACATTTATCAAAAAATTACTTGACAAAAAAACAAATAACAAAAAATCCTCGTCAGAGCTGTTCATTTTAAAACGTTCAAATTTGATGATAAAGTTTGTAGATTCTTGCATATAAATAGAGAACAAATCTGACAATGTGTCAAGGTTAATTTATATGGTGTTTGTATTGATGTTGGCTGATATAGAAACAGAGGAAAAATTTGTCATCGTGTGTCAAAGTCGACAGGTGAACTTATTGTTGCTTGACAATTATAATTACTTTTCGGCACTTAGTGCGGATAAGGCCTGTATCCGCACTGAGTGCGGAAAAGTGTAACTTTGAGCCCGGAAATGCGTGCGGAAAAGTACTACTTTGCGCACGCTCGTAGAAAAAATAATGTTCCTAACTCGCACTTGATTGCTTGCAAACTGCAATCGCGTGCGGAAAAGTACCACTTTTCGCACTAGTTAGGAAATATACTATTTTCTACGAGCGTATTTTAGTTTAGAAAGTTTCACTTTTCCGCACTAGTGCGGAAAAAAGTGACAGATGTCAGTTTTTAAATTATAAGCTGACACACTTCCACAAATATCAGCATTGATAATTATTGAAACAAGAATGTTATTTATTAGATAATTTCGGTTTAAACTTAACTTTTCTTGTCAAGTTACTATGGTTACTTTATGCTTAAAAATTTCGAAAATTTCACAGTAGATATATCAAACGTACAAATTATTGTTATCAGTTCTCGATTTTATTATCTTCAGAATCAGGGACATTATTTCAGAATTATTTTTTTTTAATTTTTAAAAAAATTAGTTTTATTTGTACTTAAGAGTACATAACCTATATTAAGAAAAAATTACTCGATTTTTTTTAATACCAGGTGTTGCAAAAGAAATATTGTCAAATATTGGTGTTAAAATTTACATTACGTAGGTACGTTCCTTCTATCTCGTAGAAAAAATAATTTACCATATGCCACACCTTGATATGATCACGCAGCATTTCTCATTAAAGTATTAAAGTATATATTTTCTTGTAGTTCTCAACAGAAATGACCACTCAAAAAAGGGGGTTGAAAGCACAGTATACTCCTTGATTATCCAAGTTTTTGGCTAGTGCGAAAATGTATTATTGGAAGTTTGACACACTTTTTCCTTAGGCTGGCAGAGCTGGGCAGGGCTTGAGTGCTTTGTGCTTGCGAAAGTGCTTGAAGCCCTTTGAGGGCTTGAAAGCACTGTGCTTGAAGCCCTTTTATAGATTTGTAATTGGGGCTTGCAAAGTCAATTACTTTAGAAAAGTGCTTGGTAATTTGTAATTGAAAAAAGTAATTCAAGCCCTTTCAATGAGCTTCAATTACTTTTGGGAGCTTGAAGCCCTTTGAAAGGGCTTGAAGCACTTTAAGAGGGCTTGAAGCACTTTTGGGAGCTTGAAGCACTTTTGGGCGCTTGAAGCACTTTGAAAGGGCTTGAAGCACTTTAAAAGGGCTTGAAGCACTTTAAAAGGGCTTGAAGCACTTTGAAAGGAATTTGAATTGACCATCACTCAACCTATCCCCCACTTGAAAATTTTCGATCGTGTTTTGTCCCTTAATTTTTTTTTCCATTATTTGAACTTGAACCGTCTTATGTCTTTTCTCTCTTAACAATGGAGGTTTTGGGTTTGAGCCTAGAATGGAATTTAAAAAAAAAATAATGAACTTATTATTCAAATAAATAATTAATTTATATTGGTAACCTATTTAACTTTATCACTGGATTTTTTCCACTTTTCCCCATTGAACATTTTCAAAACCTTAAAATTGAATTACCATGTAGTACCCCAAGTACCCCAGAACTACATCTCAAAAAAAAACATACTACTGCTACTCTGTGAAATGTAAAGTTCGTCTCTACTATACCAATTCTGTGTGATGAGTGTACGCGGTAGCTTATGCCACTTTGAGAATTATATTACAAATTCAAAGTGCTTTAGGCACATTTAAAGAGCTTCAAGCACATTTAAAGAGCTTGAAGCACATTTAAAGAGCTTGAAGTCCTTTTCAAGGCACCCCAAGCACTTTTGATGTGC